AAAGGCAGCGAGATAGAGCAAGCTGTTCCAGGGCTCTGTGCTTCTGACCCTTGACTATCCCTAGGGGAGGGGGGCCCTGTGCTTGACTCTGCCTACCAACTGATTGGAGATGTCAGACTTCTCTCTTTTGAGGGCATTGAGAAGCCCTGTCCAACTTCGTGGTGTAGGTACTTGAGTCCTGCTCTTATGCAAGGCAGGCTTGGGAGTCCACACCCCTGAATCTGCTCAATGGCAGGCCTAGCAAGAGAACTGTGGGCCAAGGCTCGGCTATTGCTCATCTGCCCTGTGCCCTGGCAGGGTGGCAGCACTGGAAGCATCAGGAGCCCTGGCCGCTCTCTACCCCGTAGCCTTCAGCAGTCACCTCGTGCCCAAGCTCGCTGAGGAACTGTGCAGAGGTGTGTGTCTCTGTCCTCTGTGGCTCACCCCTTCCCAGGGACGTTTGGGGCCTTCACATGTGCCATCACACAGTGAAGTCATGTCTCCTGGGTTGCTTTCAGGGGAGTTAGATTTGACTAGAGGGGATGAGCCCACCAAATGCTCCCGGCGTCTGCGCTGCTTGCAAGCCTTGTCAGCTGCATCGACGCATCCCAGTATTGTCAAGGAGACCCTGCCTGTGCTGCTGCAGCATCTCTGCCAGATGAACAAAGGTAATGCCAGGAATAACCATCCAGGAGCTGGGCTGAATGGGGAGCCGTGGGCGGGCTTGGGTTGATGCCTCTAAGGCAGTGGTTCCATTGGTGGCTCTATGTAAGAGTCACATGGAACCTTTAAAATATGTCGGTGCCTGGGCCTCAGTTCAACTGAATGAGTGTCTGAGGAGGGATGGGGCTTGAACAATGGGAATTGTTGAGTGTCCGGGTGACGTCAATGTGAAGTCAGAATTGAAAAGCACCACTCTAGGGCCGTGCTACTCAAAATGTGTTCCATCCACCAGCAGCATGGGCGCTGTCTGGGAACTTCAGTGCAGAATCTCAGGCCCTCCTGATCAGCATTTGAACAGGATCTCCAGCTAGCTCACACGCACCACTGCTCCAAGGCAGAAGTGACAGCAGCTGTTGCTACTGTGGACCTATGCAAGCTCACCGGGGGCCTCACTACGTCCCTAAGCTCCCGGCTTGGCACTGCCCAGCCTTCTGTGGCAGATCCAGTGGGTGTTCCAGCAGCCATTACATAGTAGAAAGAACACTGGACTAGGAGTATGGCCGGGGTTTGACTCCTAACTTTGCACTTACTGTGACCCTGGAAAACCACTGGTGGTTTCATTTAGCCTCCGCAATCTCCTCTATGAAATGGGAGAAATGATACTTCTCGGGTGGTTATGAAAACGAAAGGAGAAAACGTATGAGTGCTTCTATTGCGGAGCTGGCGCAGAGCCGGTGCTGCTCCGAAATCGGAGGTGAGAAAGAACAGCCAAGAGAATAAAGTTATTTGGCTCTTTATAAGACACTCTTGGACTCTTTAGTCACTCATCTTTGATTACTCTTCCCATATTCTGTATCTGAAAGACCTGGAAGTGCTTTTAAGGAAACGACAGAATATTTTCTCACCGCACAGGGAATATGGTTGCAGGAACCAGTGAAGTTATTGCCGTCTGTCAGAGCCTCCAGCAGGTGGCAGAAAAATGCCAGCGGGACCCCGAGAGCTGCTGGTACTTCCATCAGACAGCTTTACCTTGCCTGCTTGCCTTGGCTGTGCAGGCTTCCATGCCAGGTGACTTTCTGCACCCCGCACTTCGCTAGCTATGCCTCCTCTGGGCCTCAGCCATCCACTAGTGTTGAACAGCGCTGCCACCCTGAGGCTATCGCTGGTATTACATTTTGTACTGGCAGAGGCTTCCTTTGAATCCTTTGTCCCCAAGGTGAGATTTCACTTCAAGCAAAGGGTGCTTTGCTTGAACAACCTGACCGGTGTTAGCAACACTCAGAAGGATGCACACCTTTTTTTCTCTATAACTGCTATGTAATTAGTTTAGCTAGAATGAGGCTCTGGAGTTAAGCTGACCTGGTTGGGTTTCATCTTCACCTCCCCACTTGTTAAGAGAAGATATTTAGCCTTTGTATACCTCTGTTCCCTCACTTATAAGGGGAAGATAAAGAGTAGTATCTACGTCACAGGGTAGTTAGTAAGGAGTAAATAAGAATGTGTGGTGCCTGGCAACGTAGTATATAGTATGTACCTGTGGTGGCTCCACGTAGGTAGCTGCTATGATAATGAAGACCCGTGACAATACATCTGTGTTATCTTTAAGTTTTGGAAAAAACTAAAATATTTCTGAAGTTAAGGTTGTAATAGCTAGCTTTATTTTCCCCATTGCCCAGTCTAAGGACAGCACAGAGTTCTCAAGAACTCTTTGTGGCCCACGTTAACCACTCCTTCTGGTGCCGTGCTGGTGCTCAGGGCTACTCGGTGCGCTAACCCTACCAGAGGACAGGTTAGAAACTGCTGCCATTGTGCCTGGGGTCCTGATGATGACAGGACCTAATCATCTGAACCATAGTCATAGCCTGGTGATTCTTTGTGTGTGTGTGTGTGTGTGTGTGTGTGTGTCTGTCTGTCTGTCTGTCTGTCTGTCGATTTTTCAGAGAAGGAACACTCAGTTCTGAGAAAAGTACTGTTGGAGGATGAGGTCTTGGCCGCCATGGTGTCTGTCATTGGCACTGCCACTACCCACTTGAGCCCTGAGTGAGTATAATCATTGATGTGGCTTGATCCTAGGCAGGAGGATAGCAGTCTTGGGGAGAAGCGGCAGGTAGCTGCCTTCTGAGCTGTCCTTTTACCCAGAATCAAATGTGGAGGGAGTAGTTTTGCTGACAAGGTAAAAGGAAGGGGCTTTTTAGCACCAGGGACTATGAGGGTAGTGGAGGCACGGGCTAATGGCTCTTAGCTACAGATGTACATAAGAATCACCGGTGGAGCGTTTTGTTTTGTTTTGTTTTTAAATATACGTTGAGTTCTCTGACTAGACTGTAAACTCCAGGAGAACAGGGATTTAATCTATCTGGTTCACTCCTAAATCACCAGGGCCTAAAATGGGAACGGTTCTTAGCACATAATATATGCTGAATTAATACTTGCTGAATGTGTGAATGATCATGTTCTGGCCCATTGACTCAGTGACTCTAATGTGAACTCAGGGTACTTCAGAACCCTGGCTCCTTGGTAACACATAGTCTTCCATCCCCAGCTTAGCTGCCCAGAGTGTCGCCCGCATTGTGCCCCTTTTCTTGGATGGCAACATCTCCTTTCTGCCTGAAAACAGCTTCCCTTGCAGATTCCAGCCATTCCAGGTGAGGGTCTGATGGATCAGAAGGGAAAGAATCTTGGGACTTTTTTTTTAAGACCATATTTATTTGAGAGAGAGTGCGCACAAGAGAGCACAAGCAGTGGAGAAGGAGAAGCAGACTGCTGAGCAGGGAGCCCGATGTGGGGCTCGATCCCAGCACCCTGGGGTCATGACCCCAGGCTGAAGGCAGCCGTTTAACCGACTAAGCCACTCAGGCATCCCAGAACTTCTTTCCTTTAAATTTTTAGGGCTAATCTGGGATGGGTTTGGGGGCAGACAAGCCTATTGCTGGCAGGACAGGCTTGCTGGAGCTCTTCTTCCTTTATAGGATGGCTCCTCAGGGCAGAGGCGGCTGGTTGCACTGCTTATGGGCTTTGTCTGCTCCTTACCTCGAAATGTGAGTACATTTGGGGAGTACTCTAGTTTAACCCTGATAAGGGGAGGCAGCTCCCAAGTGACTTCTGGGCAGAAACTTGCCATAGGCTAAGCTGATCTTCTGTTTTCCTCACTGGAGAATTTAGTTCTCATCCATCCTGGACCCTGCTGCCACTTTCTACTGGGTATCTCTTGGGGTGCGAGTGTTCTCTTCGTGCATCACATGGTCAGGTTTTGTGTAGGTGGAAATCCCTCAGCTGAACCAACTCATGCGGGAGCTTGTAGAGCTGAGCTGCTGCCCCAGCTGCCCCTCTTCCTCCACCGCCGCTGCCAAGTGCTTTGCGGGACTCCTCAACAAGCTCCCTGCAGGTACTGAAGTGAGGCTGGGGGTTGGGAGCCTCCCGGAATCGATTACTGATGAAATCTTTGAAGTTCAGCCCTTATGCTCTTTAAAAAAGGAGCTGCTAATAATGTAATAGGGACTCCCAAGGGACAGCCCTTGGGACAAGAGTCGGGACCAGAGTTGGGCAAAGCATTAAGGGACATAAGAAGATAAGAGGGTTCAAGCAGAGTGCTCTGTCTAGGTCTGTCATCCTACTCCCCACAGGGAGCTATTAGAGATGATTTTTTACTAGAAGTAGACTGCTCTTTCCGAATACTAGCACCCATGTTAGGAGATACCAGACTCTCATGCTAGTGTCCTAGAGCTGAGTGGGCAAAGTCACAGCCAAAATGATACCGTTCTTCTAAAGGCTTCTCAGGGAGCTCTGCATTTAAATGACTTATATCCTTTGTTGTTAAAGGAGAAATGTGTAGCCTCTGCATCAGTGTTTCTTATTTTTAGGGCAACAGCTGGACGAATTCCTGCAGCTAGCCGTGGACAGAGTAGAGGCTGGCCTGAGCCCTGGGCCCTGTCGTAGTCAGGCCTTCACACTGCTTCTCTGGGTAAGGAGCCAGAATGGATTCTGGTTAGACAGAGACAATGATGTCTGGTTAAATAAAATTTCTCCATTTGACCTTGAACCATAAGCATGCTTCATGGAGTTCTGGGGTTTGAGTGCCATGCCCTGTTCTCTCTCTGATTACAGGTAACAAAGGCCCTAGTACTCAGATATCATCCTCTCAGCTCCTGCCTTACAGACCGGGTAAGTCCATTCTGGAGACAGGAGAGCCAAGGACCTACACAGAAACTTCCCTGTTTATTCTCCCGGAAAGGACAGCCATCCTCCTCTTGCATATTTAAGATTGATTCTTCTCTTCTGGTGCACCTCTTTTCTCCAGCTCATGGGCCTCCTGAGTGATCCAGAACTAGGCCCAGCAGCAGCCGATGGCTTCTCTCTGCTCATGTCTGACTGCACGGACGTGCTGACCCGTGCTGGCCATGCTGAGGTGCGGATCATGTTCCGCCAGCGGTTCTTCACAGATAATGTGCCGGCTTTGGTCCAGGGCTTCCATGCTGCTTCCCGAGGTGAGAAGGGTCTAAAAGAAAGGCCCCAAATATATAGACCTTTCCTTTGCTCAGGCCACATTCCCTCAAATAATTTAGGACCCAAGTGCTTCTTTAGAGCTATACTGTCATCTGTACCTGAAAGGCTAAATTTCCACATTCTTGTCCCACTTTTTTCCTTTGATGAGCCTGTCTTGCCTTTTCTGAGCTTCAGGGTTTTGGGGGTTTTTTTCCCAACCTTTTTCTAGGCTGATGTCCCAGCTTCATAGAGATTGGAGTTGAATTCCCAAGCTCTATGTCTGAGACCAGTTTCTCCATCTTTTTACAGATGTGAAGCCAAATTACCTGAAGGGCCTGTCTCATGTCCTTAACAGGCTGCCTCAGCCTGTGCTCTTGCCAGAGTTGCCCACGGTAAGCCCTGCAGTCAGAGCCTCAAACAGGGACTAAGCCACTGTCCCCAGCCGGGGCATGGTGAGGTGGAGGAAAAGCAGGCTCATCACATACATGATCGTGCCCGCCTTCTCTGTGGCCCCTTAGCTGCTTTCCTTGCTGCTGGAAGCCCTGTCCTGCTCTGACTGTGTAGTACAGCTCTCCACCCTCAGCTGCCTTCAGCCTCTTCTATTGGAAGCACCCCAGGTCATGAGTCTTCACGTGGACACCCTCGTCACCAAGTTTCTGAACCTCAGCTCTAGCCCTTCCATGGTGCGTTAAGCCCCCACAACTCTTTGGCACCTATGTCTCTCCTTCCTGGGTCTCCCGTTACCCTCTATGGTTGTGTTCCAGGCTGTCCGGATTGCTGCACTGCAGTGTATGCACGCTCTTACTCGTCTGCCCACTCCCGTGGTGAGTACCTGAGATGGTCCTCTCTGGCCTGGACCCTTCTTAGAAGAGCCAGAGAAGTACCTTTTTGCCTTAATCAAGTGGCACTGGCCACCCTGCTGTGTGATTGAGGTATACACAGGCAAGGATTTGCCTGACTACCCTGTAATAGAACGGCCATCCTGCCACAGAGCATTCTCTGGAATCACTAAAGGAGAATAGGACGAACATTAGTCGTAGAGTCAGAGAAGCAGCCCTTTCAGTTGCTTTGGTTGAGCAAGGCCGTGGCTCTTCTAACTCCACAGCTGCTGCCGTACAAACCACAGGTGATCCGAGCTTTGGCCAAGCCCCTGGATGACAAGAAGAGACTGGTGCGCAAGGAGGCAGTATCAGCCAGGGGAGAATGGTGAGTTTCTAGGTCATGGGCGAGATGGGATTGAAATGAGCCTCATCGCTGATGCTGCCTGCATTCTTTTTGCCTACAGGTTTCTGCTGGGGAGCCCTGGCAGCTGAGCCCTCGGTACTGGCCTAGGCTGTTCTACAGACAATCTAACCTGGAATTACTAACTATCAAGCCATCTTGCCCAAGGCAGGGAGACCACTGGCCTCTGATGGCCTCTCCCTGGGCCACTGTTGCATGGCTCTGTAACATAGGAATCCTGACTTCTAATGGCTTTGTGAAGTAACTGAGTGTGAGACCACTTGTGTTTGAAGAAAGATCTTGGGTTGGGACTTTTCCATTTATTTGTCAGAAAAAGGGAGATATGCTGCTGAGGGGCGAATGCAGATGAATGTGGCTTTGAGGACCAGAATGATGGAAGTGTGTGTACCTACTAGAGAATAAAGATTTTTTTTGGTAATGGGGCGGTCGGCTATTTCCCGCTCCCCACTTACGTCTTTGTGGCACCTTAACTAGAGCACCACTGTGTATGCTTAGAGGAACACTAACAAGAATTCTTTGGGGCATCCACCCCTCCAAGTAGAGCACGGGAAGCAGGACCAGAACGCTAGGCCTTGACCCTGACTTCTCCCTTCCTCGCCCTCTAGTAAAAGCAAAGAGAAGCTACATATCTTTAAAAATCAAATACCTTTATTTTTCACCTTCAGCAGCATGTGAGAAGTGGCAGTGACCTCAGCAGTAGGCCTGGTGTCTTGCCCTGTTGGGAAGCCAGAATCTCCGTTCTACTGTTCAGGTGTTTTCTCAGATAGCAAGTGGCAGAGGTGGTGGCCAACCCCAGTGCTGGAACCTGGAGGAGGTTGGGGTCAGCACCTGGCAGGGTTGCTAGCTGCCTAATCTCCAGTCTGGGGCTGGAATTTCAGTTTGCCTGAGCTGAGTCAAGGTACATCAGTCCTAGGATTTTTCCACATCATGCCTTGTTTCTGCAATAGCCAGGAGACTGGTCCTTGAGTTGTCCCTACATGGTACTCTACGGCAGGCCCACTGACTTTTTTTGCCCAAGGATTCCAAGAAGCTATCCTTGGAGGCCCTTGAGACAATGCAGGAAGCAGAGTGGTGCTCAAGCTGTGGCTGACACAATCCAGCTCACACTGCCATCACAGAGGCTGAGTGAGCAGTCACCCAGGGAGGGGGGTCCCAGCTCATTCCATTCCCATGGGGCAGATGACTGGAAGGTAACAGCACCCGAGTAAGCCAGTGCCTACAAGAGAAGATAGAACGTCTGAGTTCCAAGAGTTCCTGGTCTTCCTTCCTGATCCTCAGTCCTCAGCAAGGATTCAAAGTATCCTGAAGCCACCTTGGCATTAATCCCAAAGAAACAAAAGTTCTAATTTGTCCAATGTGCCCTCTAGTGCCTTGAGGGCCTCGAGAGGTTTCAAGCTAAACTTCTAAGGGGCCACTGCAAGCAGTGACAGGCAGGAATGTAATGAGGACGGGAAAGGGAAGAGGGCAGGTACTTTTGATCACCTGATTATTACTGTCTTGGGAATTGCAATTTGGAAAGTGGTTTACCCTTGTCTCTCGGGCTCAGGGAGCGAACTTCATTTTTTTTGTCTTAGGACTTCTGTTACAAATAGATTACTGCAATTTCACATGTTCCTGGCTTGAACTCCAGACACTGCCATACAAATGGGAGGAGGTTGGTGGTCACTATGTCCTACCTAGAGGTCCCTTCTTGACAACAGCTCTCTCAGGGTTCTGTTGTGGTCATCTGTAAGCCTCATATGCATGTACACCACACAGTTTTGGCCGTAAGCCCCTTTGGCTCAAATGAACAGTGATCTCTACTCCCAGAGTCTAGATCTGCAGTGGCCCATTATGGTAGCCACTAGCCCACATGGGTCTATTTAAATTAGTGGAAATTAAATTAAAAATAGAATTTATGGGTGCATTAGCCACGTTTCAAGTGTTCAGCAACCATATGTGGCTAGTGCCTAATGTCTTACACAGCATAGGTACAGAAAACTTTTCTTATCACAAAGAGTTCTACTGGATGGCACTGGTCTAGATGTTTTACTTTACCTTCCTGTGTCCACACCCAGGAATACCTTCCAGTTGTCCAAGCAGCCGTAGTTGTAATGATTCCTAAAAACCTAGAGCCAAGAAAAACACAGGTTTCTACAAACCCCTTTTTACTTAATCCCCTCCTAATTTTAGAGCCTAAACTGGCTAAGCTAAGGCTCAGCTAGGCAAGTTCTGACCTTTTATGACGCCTATTGGCCCTGACTATGGCTTCTGTTTTCAGGACAGCAGGTTCAGTTACCCTCCACCCCAAGCCCTCAGCCCTACTCACTCTGCCCTTGGCCTGCAGCCGACGTCTCTCCTTCTTGTTGATGTGCCTTTCGATACTAGTCTCACCTCGACTGATGAGAACAGCATGCCATACAGTTAGGGCACCCAAGGCAAGTGCTACGGAACTAAGAAAAGAGGGGCCAAGATTGGTGGCGAGCTTAGGGGAGGGGGCGGCTACAGGTAGGGTCTGAATCTGAAACTGAGCTGAGCAATAATGATCCACTAGAGACCTCTCTGCCTAAGTCTTATCTCCCAGCCTACATCCTAGGTGAGTTGTTGCTTCAGTACGTCTACAAAAAACACCAATGAAGAAGCATCGACATGAAGAAAGAAGGGTAGGGAAACAAGTCTGCATTGCTAATAAAAATGGTCCATATCTCCTAAAATCCCCACGCTTAGGAAACAACAGCAGATAGAGAAAGCACCAGGTTTAGAACAGGAGGCACACAATTCCAACTGCAGCTCTCCCACTCCCAGCTATGATCACACAGCAACTCACTTCACCCTCTGCTCTTCAGTTCTCATCTGGAAATTGCACTGCCCTACCCTGAGGCAGGAGTTTAACTTACCTTGGCACAGAACGCTCAGTGCTAGCATCCTTAGCATTCCCTGCCCCAGAACGCTGAAGAAAATGAAGCACTGACTCTTTGCCAAGTTAAGTCACACTAAGAAGAGTGGCAGATGACAGGTGGGTCCCTATCTACACATGGGCACTAGAATGGTTTTCCCAAAGCTGCCCCCCATTAAAGTGTCAAAAATGAGCATTCGATACCTGCACAGGAACCAGAGGTAGACAAGACTCTTGTGAGTCACCCTTTCTCGGAAGGAGAAGGTGGGTGGTGGGGTCTGGTGATAAGTCTAGAGAAAGAAGAGCAAGGGGGTTCATTTGCTCTATTGGTCTCCACCACAGCCCCCAGCACCTGCAGGCAGGGAAGGGACCAAGCCCAGGGTGAGAAAGTAGGGAGTTAAGCCACAGAGGAGTCAGGGTGGCAGCCAGATGGGTGGGCCAAGCCCGGCGGCATCATCATGTGGACACACACTGGGTAGGGCGGGTCTGGACAGGATGGCAAAGCACAGGAGGAGCCGACCCTGGGCCTTCAGGTTTGACAACACAAATGGGGCTCCAGGGGAAGCCACTCCACTTCCCAGCGAGAACTCCCTCACTATGTGGCTGCAATCCTCAAGAGAGGAGGCCCACACCCAGAATGCAAGCACAAGCAGGGAGAACTGAGCTCCGATTAAGGGCTGAAAGGGCAGCAGAGGTAAGTGGTACAGTTGTGAGCCCAGGACCTCTCAGAGTAAGGGGTCCTAAAAGGCCCAGGGGAAGGGACGATCCTGACAACGGATACAGAAAGACTAGGACCAAAGGGTGATCAGACTGGTCCAGCCTGATCTCTGTCCCCTGGAACCCCATTACACACACTAACACAGACTCCTTGCTGCTCAGGCCATCACCAAGGCAGAGTCCTTGCTCAGCCCAAAGAAGGTGATAATGGGGTAGAGAGCCCAAAACTGTCACAAACCAGGGACTTCAGTTTACCCCAGGCCACCCAGTCAGCAGACAGCTTCCCAGAACACCCCTGATCCAGTCCTGAGAGGCCCCTCGGCCAGCCTCTACAACTCCACTAGCAGGCGGGCCCCCGCTGCCTCAGCAACCCCATCCCCCTGGCCTGAGCAGCAGGAGGCAGTGGGGTGGGGACGGCCCACCTGGTTGGCAACCGCCTGTAGTTTGTTCTTGTCGAGCTGTTTCATTTTCTAAGGGGATGGAAAACAGTGCTGGTTATACTCTCAGGCCTCTAGGACGGCGGTGCTACCAGCCCCACTTAGGGACAGATTCCATGCCCCAAAATTCTACTGAGCTGTCCTGCTCCTAACCATGGGCTCACCTCGATGGCAGCATAAGCTTCCCGGAAAAGGTCCCAACTCCCGTAGCTGCAGTAGACACAGCCCAGCGTCATGAAAAAGCAGAAAGAGAAGAAGTACCGATGGTTATAGTGGCCCACACAGTTGTTTAGCCAGGCTGGTGGGGGAAAGATTAAGGACAAGATCAAACAGAGCTGCTGGTCTCTCTGGTTCATCCCTGCTTCATGATGGCATCATCCAAGCACAGGGCTTCCAGTCACCAAGAACTATTCCTCAAAGGCAGGAAAATATGGGACTGTTTCCAGAGGTTAAAGCTTTTCAGAGCCTTCACTAGTCCCACTGGGAAGTTGTGAAAACTGAAATCCTTCAGCAAAATGAATCTGCCAATACTCCAACCTAGCTGGGGTTAACCAGCCACCTGTAGGGGACCAATGGTTCTATCGGGCACACCCAGTGGGCAACATGAAGCCCAAACATCTTAACACCCCACAAATGTTAGCATGATGGTCTACAAAAGAAAACTGTTCGAACAGATGCCCTGCTCCAAGATCTGTCCCATAGAGAGCTTTTAAGTCTCCAGCTTTTCCCCCCCGCCCCCCCGGAGATGGCCAGTCCCCACCACTCCTCTTCTACTAACTTTTCATGAGCCCAGTGTCCTAGGAGGGATGATGCCTTGGTTGCAGCATCACAACCCAGTGCAGGGCTCTGGAGCTAAAGAAAGAGGCCTCAGGCAGAAGAGATCATAAAAGGATACGGCAGTGATGATCCATCTTCAGCACACACCTGTGAGGGAGGGACACAGGCTCTGTTACGGTGGCCAAGGTTCTTGAGAGGTCAGTGCCCATCCTTTCCTACAAGGCCCAGCATCCTGCTGAGGTGGAAAGGGCACAGACTTTGAAGACAGGCCTTGCTTCAAACCCTGCTTCATTGGCTACATGATCTTGGACAAGGTTAACTCATCTATGAAGCTCGGTGTCCACAAGTGGTGACAATGCCTAACCCAGGACCATCCTGAGGACCAGGTGTCATGATGTGAGGGCACACTGCCTGGTATATGACGGGCGTTTCATAAACGTCTTCTCAAACTTTAGGTCTAAATTTTGCCCTAGGGTTTCAGCAAAAGGGCCACAGCGGGGGTTCACAGCGAGCAAAGCCAAGACCCACCTATTGCAGATGCTGCAGTGGTGTGTTCGGGCTGGCTTGGGGTAAATGCACTTCTTACAGATGGAGACTGTTGCGATATCATTCCTGCCCTGTGCAAAGGGAGAAAAGCATCAGGACAACTGTGACAGCACAGTTTTGTACCTCAGAAGATTCCAAGGCACTCTCCCCACCCCTGGGGCTGCTCCCACAGCCGGCAGCTCTATGCCTCCCACATGCCCCCGTGGGGACCCACCTGGGGTGGGTATCCAGGTGGAGTGGTGATGGCCTGGTAGTAATGGAAGACGATAAGGATCAGATTCCAGTGGCTGTAGAAGAAGTGCCAGCAGAGCCGTGGCACTGAGTACGTTCGGAGGATGAGAGGCAGGACACACAGATAGGCGATGGCCACGATGGAGCTGGTCAGCACAATCACCAGCACCACAAACACCTGCCAACACCAGTGAGGTCGGGGAGACACAGTGAGAGTTTGCCAACACCAAGAGCAGACTCAGGAATTTCCCTGGGGTAGGGGGCTGGTGTGGGTCCCAAACCCAATGTGGGTCCACCAGACACATGTCCTTCTGCTAGCCCAAAACATCCCTGGGCATCACTCACCACCCCACACCAGCGGATCACGTTGTCCACCAGCCAGTAGATAGGCTCAAAGGCAGCATCGACAGCGGTGTCACTGCCCCCAAAGGAGTTGTAGAGCAGGGAGCGCAGGCAGACCTTGCCGTAGCGCCAGCGCTGTACCAGGCCCCGGAGCAGAGGCAGGCGGCGGCGCCTGGAGCCCAGGAACAGAAGCAGGCGCAGGCAGAGGCGGGCGGGCCCCAGCAGCAGGCTCCGCGGGCTCCGCATGGCTCCTAGGAGAGCACACCATTGGGAGGAGCCAGCCCGGTCCCGGCCCTCCCTAGCCCACCAGGGAGGAGGAGGCAAAGACCTAGGATGAGGCCCACCTGGGCCAGTCACCAGCTGTGGGAAGTAGGGAGGTCACTTCACTTCTCTGCGGAATGGCTGGTGCCGGCGTCCCAACCAGATCACACGGGGTAGGGGCCGGAGGCTCTGAGCCTGCAGAAATCCTACTTACATCACACCACTTGGGTGCACCGCAAATCCAAGATGAGGCACACCTAGAGCGAAGGGCCACGGTAAAGTGCTGAGGGAGAGGCAGGCTGCTCCAGGCCAAGGCAGGGTCTCTGGAGTCGCCTGGGTGGAGCACAGCTGACATGCACAAAGCTGCCACCATGCCCCTGTGGACATGGCCATCATAGCAGAGGACTCCAGGGGTACCCTGCCTGCTCCAGCCCATCGACCTACCTCCTGACAATGGTTCTTCACCAAGGAAGGGCCAGTGGGGGAGTAAGTGCATAGCATGTGGATCCTACATCTAGATCTGCCCTGGTGCTGAATCTCTGCAAAAGATATTCATCTTTCCTATTTCCTCTGGGCTGATTTACAGGCCACCAGACCCAACCTGGTAGCATGAGAGTCCCTGCCTCCGGTCAGGACACCTCAGCTATCCTGCATGACATAAGATGCTTTGTCTCCAATTCCAGTCCCAGCCCCACCCCAAGGATACAAAAGCCAAGACAATTTCAGTTGTTCACAGCAGAATAACACCACAGGCAGGAGACCCTGGCAGTGGGAGAGGGACCTTCATGCTGTGGTTCATGAAGACCACAGAGCCTATCCTCTGTGATGAGTCTCCCCTGCCCAGTTCTAGCTGGACACTCATGAGTCTTCTCTACAGCTGCTGCCCTTGGCCCCAGGCTTCCTAACCAGCCTTCCCACCTTTGCAAGTACCTTCATCTCCTCTATGTGATTTCTACCTCACTCAATAGCCATGGCAGGTCAGCTGCCCAGGCAACGTCCAGCACAGAAGTCATGGCTCCTTCAACGTTAGTCTCCTCAATTCTGCAGCTTAAAGCCCTTACCAGAAAAGAAATTATCTGACTTTCCCTAGGGCTACTCTGTCCTCAGCAACTCCACTGACTTATTTAACAGGCAGCTCAAAACCCAACAGAAACTGGAGGAGGCTGCTCCACCGGAGTGATGGTTTCAGTTCAGTAACTGGAGCAAGGTACTCTCCTTGCACACTGGCTTATCACTAAAGGCCTTTCAAAACAACAACAACAAAAAACAAACAAAAAAAACCACTTCAATACCTCCTTCCACAAGCCCTGTAATGACCTAAGGCAAAAAGGAATCCGGGAGACAAGACCAGCAAAGAGAAGAAAGACAATTCAGTAAGGACCTACTGTGCATCAGAATAAAGAAACTGGCCATTCCTATCACTCCTAGGAGCTAAGAGATTTAAGAAGCAGTGTAGAAAAGAGAGAAAGGAAAAAGTCAGCCTTCCTACTTCCTCTTGAGTTGGGAGTCCTGTTGCTTGGAACCATGACTTGGCTTGAAGCATGAGTTTTCAAAATAGTGTATGGCTATAGTCAAATGTAAGAGACGAACATTTTACCCCACAACAAATCCAAGTGACTCAGATTGTCCACATCACTGTTCATTCCCTTACTGTGGCTAATGGAGAGTTTCCTATTTGCCAAAATACTCTTTACAGCAACAGCTTGCAAATAAGATGCATTCCTCACCTGTTAATGAACACGAATTATATGCCATCTCTCCTGTTCTACAAAAAACCCAGAAACATTCCTTTTCAGATTCTCCACCTTTCAGACTGTCCTCAACCACCTCTGGTATTCCTGAGCTCTATAGGAAATGCCTGCCTCAAGGACTAGACTTACTCTCATCCACCCCATAACCTGACTACTTAGGGCTCCATACTGCCCTTTAGTAGCTCTGTGACCTTGGGCAAATCACCCAACCCTGCTGGAACTCAATCTCCTTGTGTCCTCATTCAGTGACAGGGTAGGGTTAAATGCTAAGGTCTTTCCAGCTCTATCCCTTTATTGTTCTATATATACACTTGGTAAAGGTATAAATGAAAAGTTTACAAAATGCCTAGCACGATAATCTGGCTCATAGAAGGGCTCAATAATTGCTTGTTGAAAGAATGGAGGATGCAGAAGTGGTGAGGCTGGTCAGACGTCTATCTGTGCTACAAATAATAACAAGTGCACTGCTGCCAGTGTGGTAACACTAAAAAAGTATCTGATGCTATCATTCTTCACGGTCAGTAAAAAGAAACAGAAACCATTGTTAGAATCATAGCACTTAAGAGCTAGAAAAGATTTTAGAAAACATGTCCAACCAGAAATCAACCCAAACATGTAAACTGAAAGCTTGTAGATGCAGAGCTACAGATCAGATTTGAGTGAAGAGTCTGAAGCCAACTCCCTCCCAACTCATTTTAGCTAGTGGGGTTTAGGGGGTATGGGGATGCCAGGGAAGAGATACTGTGGTCCATGGGACCACACTTGAACATACGGAGTTCCTCATTTCTCAGGAAATTGAGCTAAACCAGAATTGAAAAAAACTGTGTGTGTGTTGTGGTGGGGGGTGGAGAATCAGAGTGAACACGGGAGGAAACAGAGCAAAGCAGAGCTTCACTATCACCCCAAGCACAAGCCTTTAGTACTCTGATCCCTCAGTAGCAACCACAGGCCATAGTGCCGTCTGCCACCAGATTAGAGGGGATTGATGGCCACAGCACTCCCCTCTTTCCAAGGCTCTAAGTCACCATCTGTTTTCCAAGGGGAAACTGGATTAGTGGGGGCTGGAGGGTTTGAACAGGGAGGGACATATTCCAAAGCCACCAGAAGGCAAGGGAAACTGAGATGAAAGTCATAGCAAATCTCATCTGGACAAAGATGCTGCTCTCAGGATGTTTGCTGTGTTAAGCAGTAGTTGTCAGTCATCAGTAAGAGCAGCATTCTACTCATGTGCATGCAGACTTCCCTTCCGGACTAACATGTTTGAAAGAGAAAAAGTGAAGGATGGGCCCACACGACCTGAGATCCGCTTGAGAGGATCCGACTGCAAGATCTGAAGCTGCAGTCATAAAAACCGGGAACAGGCTTTTTTCTGAATGGGGTGGCGTGGTCAAAGTGCGATGGACTGGAAGTAAAACAAAACAAAACAAAACAAAAAAACTTGGGTTCCGGTTTGGGCTCTACCTTTAGCTATCTTTGAGCCACTGGACAAGTCAAATCCTGTCTCTGGATCTGAGTTTCCAAATCTGTAAAATGGGCAAGTTGGGTCAGCTGACCTCCTTCCAGCTCCGCGCGTTACGCTGCCCGAAGGGTGCACTCCGCCAGACTTGTGCAGGGCACTGCCGTGCAGGGCGGAGCAAAAAGAGAACAGGCCCCCGGGCTCACGAAAAGGCCCCGAACAGGGCCCGACCCTAGAAAAAAGGGCAGCACTGGGGAGCAAAGGCCGCGGCTCCGCTCTTACCTGCCGCCTGCCGACTCCCCAGTCAGCCAAATGGAACCCCACAGCCTCCGCCGCCGCTCACTGCCACCCCCTCCAGCTCCGCAACCCGTCCGGGCTCGTTTCAGTCCAACCAACCATCGCCCGGACTGGGACCCGCCGCCAGCCCATCCTGGACCACAGGCGCACGCGCAGGCGGTCCGGAGCCCCGCCCCCGGACTGGTCCCGGGGCAACCTGGGAAATAAAGTTTCCCGGAGGAGGAGCTCCCGAAGATCACGTGATAAGTTATACCAATTGGCGCCTTTCTTACTGTGGAACTGCTCCTGAACTTCGGCCAATGAGAAGTCGACTTCGTTTCCCTCCAGTGGCAGTCATGGCGCCACCCGTGAGGTACTGCATTCCGGGTAAGTGTGCGGGGCCCATAGCGAATTCTGGGTGGGACAGAGGCAGGAAGGTTGGATGGCCAACACCTTATGGGGACCCGTGACTGATGCAGCGTTTTGCTTCAGGCGAACGTCTGTGTAACTTGGAGGAGGGCAGCCCGGGCAGCGGCACTTACACCCGACACGGCTACATCTTTTCGTCGCTTGCTGGCTGCCTGACGAAGAGCAGCGAGAACGGCGCGGTAAAGGGGCAGCTTCCCATTTCCTCCTTCTTTTCCTTTCTTTTAGGCTGCTTTTGATTTCGCGGTCTTTAGGCAGGGGCGCTACGGACGCGTCTTTAGTGCCTCAGCAGTAGAACAGCTGGTCTCCGAGTTTCTTCCAGCTGAGGTCTCCACTGCTGGGCACTTAGCCACCACAGACCAGATGTGTTGCTCTCGCTTGATTATATTGCTGACACTCGGGGAAGGAAGTTAGGGGACGAGCGGAGGCGGACTGAGCCCTGCAGTGAGCTGAATCTTGTCCGAATGTCGCCCACCTCTCCGGTTACATCTTGCTCCGCCATTCCCACCTCACTCTGCAGTCTAGTCACACAGGCTTCTTTCACTGTCGCTAGTGGGGTAAGCTCTCTCCTGCCACAGAGCCTTTGTACACACGGCATCTATTTGTAACACACTCATCTCCTTAGCCTGTTTAATTCCTATCTTTCAGATAGCCTCTCTAGTATCACTTATGAGAGAAGCCATGCTAGACCCACTAGTCAAGGAAAGGAGTTTTGTGAGCTTTTATTTTTTGTTTGTTTTGTTAAACTCTCACAAAGAACTAAATTTCTTTGCTTCTGTGCGCTCATCTTTGAATATAATTAAACATTCAGTTACATGTTTCCCCTAGACTCTTCCCTTACTAGACTCTAAGTTCCATGTGAAGCAAACCTTCCCACCATACCTTTAGTGCCAAGCACAAGGGCCTATGCTCAGTAAATGTTTGTTGAATGCCTAACACTGTTCTCTGTAGTTCCAGAGGCTGATCCAGGATTAGCCCAGGATCAGATAAACAGTATTGGAAGGAGCAGCTTAAAGACAGGGAGCATAGTAGAAAGAGGATTCAGAATTAGGACATTTAGGTACTGGCTAACTAGACCTTGTTTCTGCTTTAGGTTAGAAACTTGCTCTCTCTTGTTTTAGGTTTTTCCTCATATGTAAAATGAGAGACTTTTTATTCAGTAATTTTGGGAATGTCTTTTAACATATCAAAGTTTATTCATTTCACAGAAATATTTTTTTAAAAAAATTTTTAAGATTTTATTTATTTATTTGACAGAGAGAGCGACCATTTGAGAGGGGGGGGAGGGTCAGAGGGAGAAGCAGACTCCCTGCTCAGCAGGGAGCCTGATGCAGGGCTCCATCCCAGGACCCTGGGATCACGACCTGAGCCAAAGGCAGACACTTAACCAACTGAGCCACCCAGGCGCCCCTTATAGAAATACTTATTGAGCATTTTCATGTGCCAGGCGCAATGCTGACCTCTAGAGATATGGTAATGAGCCAAATTTACATGGTTTCTGTTATCAAGGGACACAGACATAAATTGTAAACAAGTAAATGCTCAAATTAGTGTATGGCTACAAATGTGATGACTATTTTGAAAGAATATTACAGGTTGCCATGAGAACATGTAAAAGACAAACCCACCGTAGTCGGGAGAAGTGACATTTAACCTTAATCTAAAGGATAAATAAAAATTGGGTAGGTGGGGAGAGTACAGTCCTGACAGAAAGAACAGGTTGAACACAAATTCTGAGATGGGAAGATGTTTAATGAATTAGTGAAACTGAAAGAAGGCCGGGGAACTGAAGCATAGTAAGTGAGGGAGAGGTAAATAAAAGATGAGGCTCAAAATATCTGTCTTGGGGTGCCTGGGTGGCTTAGTCAGTTGAGCATCCGACTCTGGATTTCAGCTCGAGTCATGATCTCAGGGTCCTGGGATCAAGCCCCATGTCAGTGCTCCCCCACCCCCGCTCAGTGGGGAGTCTGCTTGGGATTCTCTCTCCCTCTGCCCCTCTCCCCATTTGCGCATGCACACGCTGTATCTCTAAAATAAATCTTTAAAAAAATATATCTGTCTTACACCAGCAGCCAATACCATGCTCAAAGAGAAAACTACAAGTATTCCCTTAAAATAGAAGAAATCAAGTATGGCCATTATTATATAACATTTATTTGGAAATTCTAGTCAGTACAGTAAAGTGAGAAACAGAGGGTAGTAGTATAACTTTGGAGGAGTCAAGTTATCTATGATAGACAGTGGTTATATATCAAGAAAGCCAAGAAAATCACCAAAAATCTTGTTAGAGCTTATCTGAAATGATTAGATTATGTTTTCTAGTAGCATTCTTCCCTTGAAGAATGGCCCCTTGACCTTCCTATTGCCTAAAATTTCTAAGGCTGTCTACTCTGGGCACATATGAGTCTATAGTCCACCCATCCTTGGGATCTCAGCTGTGGACCAAAGCATTCCTACATTACTCATAAGCCACAGATTACCTTTATGCAAGGCTTAGTCGATCTCACATTTTATTGTTTTCTCTATAGCTTCCTGTCATTTCTGTCATGAGAGAAACAGAGTCCCAATTACTACCAGATGTGGGGGCTATTGTAACCTGTAAGGTAAGTTGGTCTTAACCTCCCTGCTTAGGACACTTGTTCAGTGGTGAAATCATGATCATTGTGGAACTGCACTGTCTAATATGGCAGCCACTTGCCATATGTGGCCATTTAATTGAAATGAATTAAAATTAAACAAAATTCAGAGTTCATTTCCTCAGTCCCACTAGCTACATTTCAAGCGCTCACATACAGTTAGGAGCTGCCCTGTTGGCCAGCACAGAACATTTCTGTCATCACAGTGTTACTGGACTGTGCTGGCCTAGAAAGTTCTGGGATAGTGATCAGGGCAGCCAGGTTCAAGCACACATAGTTATTTCACTGAGCTGAGTCTCTGAGTATGCAGTTGGGGAAACAGGGGTGTCAAAGGGTAATAAGGAGGTCTATTTTTTAACACCTGGAAGCTGAGATCTTATTCTGCAGAGAAGCAAAAGACCTTATATTATAGCATTCCTGTTAAATTTCATCTTTTAGGGTGTTTCAGGGGAAGTACAAATTAAGGCTGTACTGATCAATAAATGTAATACATCCTTACTCCCTGCCCATCCCCACCTCTGCCAGGTTAAATTAACTTGTAGCTCTTAGTTGCTCTCTTTATAAGTTGTTCCAGCAAAAAATCTATGTGTTATTCTCAAAATAACTGAAGAGGCAATGATCCAAATATTACGCAGTAGCTGAGATGTACATTTAAATTCTGTCCACTCTACAGGCCTCTTAGCAAGATCTGTTAAAGGTCCAGATTTGCTGTGATGCCCTGTGTCTATTTATGTTAGGCTTCTGTATTTTTCAAGATCTAGTCCATGTTATTTCATTGGATGCCCACAGTAACTTTATTAGGTGGCCAGAGTGGCTCTCATTCCACTTTATATATATTATTTATGCAGAGTTAAATCGGAGTTAACTTGTCTTAAATTCTATAATTAGTAGGGTTGCTTGGACTAAAATCCTGGTAATTCCTACTTCTTGCTTCCTCCTTGAGCTGACAACTGCTACTACTCTAATGCTGATCTTTTCTCTGCTCCCCAGGTCTCTAGCATCAATTCACGCTTTGCCAAAGTGCACATCCTATATGTAGGGTCCACACCACTTAAGAACTCTTTTCGAGGAACTATCCGGTAAGAAGTGTTCGTGTCTTTGCCTTTGCCTCAGCACCTGGAATGAGATTAGGATAGAACAGGGGATTGGAATTCTTAGGAACAATTACAGTTCCTATACCTGCCTCTCTGGCTGTCTTTGTGTTTTGATTCTGTCCAGGTAGTGTCCAAAGGAAATGTTAAAATGTATGAGCTAGGACAAAAGGAAAATATTGACAAGATTGGGCTTTAAAATAAAATGAAAAAGGGGCGCCTGGGTGGCTCAGTTGGTTAAGCGACTGCCTTCGGCTCAGGTCATGATCCTGGAGTCCCGGGATCGAGTCCCGCATCGGGCTCCCTGCTTAGCAGGCAGTCTGCTTCTCCTTCTGACCCTCCCCCCTCTCATGCTCTGTTTCATTCTCTCTCTCAAATAAATAAAATCTTTTAAAATAAAATAAAATGAAAAGAATTGAGCTAAGCTGGAGACTAGTGATGCAGGATGATCCAGCTAGTGATGCAGGATGATTCATATGAAACAAAGTAGAAGACATTTTAGGAAGCATCTTCCTTTCTTTAATATAGTTTAAACCCAAGGATTTTAAGACATTAAAAAGGTTAGTGGGTGAGGGGCACCTGCCCGGCTCAGTCAGCAAAGCATGCACCAGTCTGATCTTGGGGTTGTGAGTTCAAGCCCCACGTTGGGTATAGAGATTACTTAAAAATAAAATCTTAGGGGCACCTAGGAGGCTCGGTTGAGCAACCGATTTGCCATTTCAACCCGGGCCATGATCTCATGGATCATGAGATTGAGCCTGTGTTGGGCTCTGTGCTCAGCGGAGAGTCTGCTTGAGATTCTCTCTGTAAAATAGAGTGTGTACTCCCCCACTCACATGCGTGTGTGTGGTCTCTTCTTTCCCTCTGTCTCTGTAAGATAGGTAAATAAATAAATCTTTTTTTTTTTAAGATTTTATTTATTTATTTGACAGACAGCAAGAGCAGGAACACAAGCAGGGGGAGTGGGAGAGGGAGAAGCAGGCTTCCTGAGGAGCAGGGAGCCTGATGCAGGACTCAATCCCAGGACCCTGGGATCATGACCTGAGCCGAAGGCAGACGCTTAACGACTGAGCCACCCAGGGGCCCTAAATAAGTAAATCTTAAAAAAATAAAATATTTTTTAAAATGGTTAGTGGGTGAAATGTAGATTTTTTTTTTTTCTGTAGGTTCTTTGAGAAGGGACAATTCTTTTTTTTTTTTTTTTTTAAAGATTTTATTTATTTATTTCAGAGAGAGAGAATGAGAGAGAGCACATGAGAGGGAGGAGGGTCAGAGGGAGAAGCAGACTCCCCGCCGAGCAGGGAGCCCGATGCGGGACTCGATCCCGGGACTCCAGGATCATGACCTGAGCTGAAGGCAGTCGCTTAACCAACTGAGCCACCCAGGCGCCCCGGGACAAACAATTCTTGTGAGCAAGATAATTTAACTTCTGAGGCACTTTCCACCCTCAGGGTTCCATGTGGTTCTATAGTGCTTCTGTTCAAGCTCTCCTAAGGCAGCAAAGTTCCTTATTTTTTCCTGCCAAATCTGATCTGCTTTTCACTAGTCAGAGGTATTGATACTGCTGCTCTGTGTGACCCAAGAATGGGAATGTGGTTTTGTCCTCCGGATGAGGACTTGGAATGCTTCTCTACCCCACTTCTGTGCATGGCATTTGGGTCCCAATTATGACTTGTTCTCTCTACTCTTGTAGATCTTTGTCTACTATGATTCTGCAGAATAATTCTTTCCCACCGATAATTAATCTTTCCATTAATTCTTTTTTATAGCAAGGAAGATGTCCGAGCTACTGAAAAAGACAAGGTTGTTGGTTGGTCCTTTTTCTTTTTTTCCTTACGACTTTAGGAATCTCAGTCCTTTTAAATTATTCCAGTGAATTTCAAACATCTGTGGGAATGTAGATCCAAAGATCCAAGGAATTTTAAGGTGTTTCCTACTGGAAAGTGTGGAATTCTCACTGTCCTTTTCTTCTCCCTAGGATTTTTGTTTGCTCTGTTGACCAGAAGGGGATTAGTTTACTCCTTGCCTTTGAAACCAGATGTTTATTTTTTGCTGATCCCTCAGATTTACTCTGGATCCTTTCAGAGCCAACTGTAGTAACTTTTGTCCAAGTCAGATTCCTGATCAGGTTACTGAATTAAAAATCTTTCGCTTATATGATCATGCTGTAAAAGCAATAGAAGTTTTTGATTGGCTTGACTAATGATGACTTCCACCCTGTGGGTTAAAAAGTAGATTGGTTCTACCAGAGGGGTAATAGTTTCATGTAGATCTGATTTAGAGCTTTCACTTAACAATCCTGTTCTTTTTTTTACAGGTTGAGATTTATAAAAGTTTCCGCCCAGGTGACATTGTCTTGGCCAAAGTGGTATCCTTTATTCCCAGCAGTCTTGTGGTCCTTTGTCAAAATAAGAAATAGAGGGGCGCCTGGGTGGCCCAGATGGTTAAGCATCTGCCTTCAACTCAGGTCATGATCCCAGGGTTCTGGGATCGAGCCCCACATCGGGCTTCCTGCTTGGCGGGGAGCCTGCTTCTCCCTCTCCTTCTACTGCTCCCCCTGCTTGTGCTTTCTCACTCTGTCAAATAAATAAAATCTTAAAAAAAAAAAAGAAATATAAGTAGAAAACAACTCAAGTGGCTATGGGAGGGAAGATTTATCACCCATCATTTTCCTTTACCAGTGTTGTGTGACTAGATCTCCCTGGGTGATGCACAGTCCAACTACCTCCTGACCACTGCTGAGAACGAACTCGGGGTGGTGGTCGCCCACAGTGAATCAGGTGAGTAGGTCCATGCGTCCATGTGCTTATTTTTCCCTGGGAGCTGTGGTTTGGGATTAATCCAGTTTTTTTCTCCTTACCCTTGTTTTTTTAATTTTCTAGGCAGCAATATGAGTGTCAGTACTTACTACTGAGATTAGAATGATTCTCCTTATATAATTGTAATGGGAGACTCACTGTGTAAATCACTGGAATAAACAAGGCTTTTTCTGTATGAGGTGAGGTTCACTAGATTGTCTGGTGATACTTCAGTTCAAAACCAGCCTTGAAAGGGAAGAGTCTTAGGTAAACATTTGGGGTCCCAGTTCCAACATCAGCTCTTCCCTTCCAGGTGTCCAGATGGTTCCCATTAGCTGGTGTGAGATGCAGTGCCCTAAGACCCACACTAAAGAATTCCGGAAAGTGGCCCGAGTACAACCTGAATTCTTGCAGACTTAAGAAGCCACATTTTACCCCATGGAGAGGGGTAAGCCATTTCTGAGAGTACAACAACCACCTTTAGAAAAACCTGCTAGCAACTTCTGCTGCAGGTGGAATATTTTTCTTATGAACCTTTCAGTGGATTTCATTCTCTTAAGTGATCAATTTCTCTTTTGGAGGAGCCAGCAAACAAACTGTATAACATTGTAAGTAGCCTGTTCCTTCTGACAGTCTTGCAAATACATATTTTTGGCTGTGACAAAACATTTTTACTAAAAGGATTTTATGGTTTCTGTTGTCTTGAGTAGGGAAGGGAATCCAAAAAGCATCATGACATTTAGAGCAGGGGTTTGCCTGGTTGCTGACACTCATTAACTGACGTGTGTCAAGTGCTTACTTCCTCTGGAAAAGCCTAATCTCCAACCTTTTTTGTATTTTTTATGTTCTATTTTAAGCACTTCCACTTATTGAGTACTTACTATGTGCCAGGCACTGGATCAAGCACTTTATATACATCTCATTTAGAGAGATTACAGTTTAGTGAAAATTACAGAACATATGGGGATTCAGGGTACATGTGAGTAGTTCTGAAACTAATTAGATGAACATAGTATTACTGATTTAGTGGTACCCCAGGAAATGTTTGCTAAATCTGAAAAGAGGGACAGAGCACTGTCACGTAAGGTGACCAGGGAAGATCTGTGATGTGAAGTAAAAGGAATTGAACTTAGCTAAGTGGAATGAAGATATTCAAGGCAGACAGAGAAGCCTGAGCAAAGTGCAGAAGCAGGAATGAACATGCAAGTTTGGGGATGAGGAAGGGATGAGGTGTTAAGCATGGAGAAGCTGCCGAGGGAATGGAAGGAAAGAATTAGCGGAGAGGTCAGTTGTTGAGATGTTCTTCAAGGAGCCTGTATCTTTTATGTGTAGTGACAGTGGTTACAGGTAAACTCGAGTCATTCCGCCTGGGTTTATATCCTCTAGCTGCTAGCCTTGAATAGGTTAGGTTGTTTTGTTTTGTTTTTTTTAATAGAAAATAGAATTGAGATCATTGTAGCTCCACATGCAGTTTTAAAAAATAGAGATTCCTTGTACACTTTGCCCATTTTCCCCCAATGGTGACATTGTACAAATTACAGTATACTAAAATAATCAGGATGTTGAACATTGATGATAGTGCAAGTTATTTTTGTTTCTTTTAAAGTCTGTTTCCTCCTCTGGAATAGTATGATCTCATAGGGTTATTGTGAGGAAGAAATGCCAAAGTTCCAGTACATGCCGGTATTGTATGTTGTTATTATAGACCTGGTTGCCTTCTATCAAGTATCTGTCAAATTCCAAGCCTTATGTTAGACACTTTGATGTAGTTTAAGCAGTCCCCTTACTGATAGACATTTTAAACGTTACAGATTTTTCTTTTACAGGCAATGCTACTGAGAAAATCTCTATACTGTATATCCTTGTGCATGCCTAGGTTTTATGGCAAAACAGATTCCTAGAAGTGGAATGCTGGGTCAAAGAATGTGTACTTTTTAAATTTTGGTTAGATTTTCCCATGTTGCCTTGCAGGAAGATGCTACCAATTTGATTCTACAGCATTAGCCACTTATTTTCTCTCTGACCTTCCCAGTAGCCCTGGAATGTACTAATCATTTCTACATTTTACAGAGAAGTAAACTAAGGCTTAGAAAAATTAGTTAACTTGCCCTACGTCACATAGACATCAAGTGGCAGACCATTAGAGCGTTATTCAAACCTACGTCTGTCGTACTGTAAAGCCCAAATTCTTCTGTACCATGGTGCCCTCCTTTTTCTAAGTATTGACCAGAACCTTGGGCATGAAATTAGAGGCTCTCCAAATTGACAGTGGTTCATTAATTGCTTGTTGGGACATCATTCATTCAATAAATATATATTGAGCAACTACTGTCCCGACCACTGTTCAAGGAACTAGGAGTTAAAGCAGTGAACATGATAGAACCCTTTCCTTGTAGAGCTTACATTCTAATGGGGAAAGACAGGTGATACATAAACAAATAAACATTCTAATAAAGTGTCATAAAGAACATTTGAAACAGCTGGATAATAGCCCTCTCTGATCTGCTGCAGAGCAGGTTGGATTTTTCCATTAACTGTCCAATATTGTATTACAAGTTGAGTTTATGTGCCTGTCTCCCCTACTAGCCTGAGCTTTTAGGGTAAGATTCTGTCTTTGAATCTTCGGTACCTAGTATTGTGACTAAACATAGCAAAGCACACTAAAAGTTTTTTTGAGTGTTCTCATAGCTGACTCAGTGGCTCTGCCCAAACAGTGATGTTTAGTGATGATATCTGCTCATCTACAACTGGATCTAGAGACAAGGAGAATATTGTTTCTGTGCCTTGGAATAGTGATTCTCAGCCTGGGTGAGGTGAACTTCGTAACTGCCTACAAAGGGTCCCCCCCCCCACAGGTGATTATGTTTAGCTAGCTAACCGAGCTAAGCATGGTCTTGGAAGGATAGTTGTTGTTAGCCTCCTAGTGGTGTTGGTAAATAATGCAGGCTTTCTATTAACTTTCCTGCCCCTAAGAGTTTTAGTCAATTAGTGAAGACGGCCAAAAACTTAGGTGATGTCAAGACATAAGAGTAAGCTGATCCAATCTGAGTTGGGTGAAGAGCCTTGGTCAAAGAAAATTACCAACTTTTTTTGGTCTACAATTCAGTATAGGCTAAGTAAATTTAACATTCCACCAGACTGTTGGGGACTTAAAATTACTAAAGCTCGTCTTGGGGTTTCTGGATAGATCAAGTGAAAAACTAGAGAAGCAAGATAATTAGAAGTATTTAAATTTAGCATAAGGACTTTTAGTTGAATATTTTTCCTCTGGGTTCCAGTACTTGGTAGCATATATTTGGCCAGTTTCTGCATCTCTTTCAGCCTGTTTCTTCTGTAAACTGGGGATAGCAGCCCTTTTCAGAAGTGGTGAAGATTAGAGACTGTATATAACGTGCCTCACCCAATGGTCGGCACAGAGGAGCTTCATGAGAGCTTCCCAGATGGAGGGCGTTACTTCCTCCTACTAGAAGAAAGGCATGGGGTGCCTGAGTGGCTCAGTCGTTAAGCGTCTGCCTTCGGCTCAGGTCATGATCCCAGGGTCCTCGGATCAAGCCCCGCATCGCACTCCCTGCTCGGCAGGAAGCCTGCTTCTCCCTCTCCCCCTGCTTGTGTTCCTGCTCTCGCTATCTCTCTCTGTCAAATAAATGGGTAGAATCTAAAAAAAAAAAAAAAAAAAGAAAGGCAGTAAGAGCTTTCTCTTGCCTTGTAGGCTTTCTCATGATCCCATGATCTTTTCAGAGGCCTTAGAGAGAAGGTAAATGTGAGCCATGTCCCTTCCTAATTACACATATAATCATACTCCTTTTCTCCTGCATCATTTAAGGTTCTGTGTACTTTCTGAGGATGAAAAGTGTGAATTAAGTTTACAGATTTCTAATAGAAAAAGAGTAGCTTTTTAAGGTAAACAAGTCTTTACCTTACTCAAAACGCATAATGGGATTTTAGAATTTGACTTTCCACTCAAGTGGTATTCAGTAACCAGCATCACTGAGCAAGAGCTGTAGAGGCAATAGGAATGGAGAGCTCAGCCAAGACGACCTGCCCACCCACCCCACACATCAGCTCCCCAACCTAAGATGGAAAACCTAGTAAGATACACCATATTTGGACCAGGCTGTGTAAAGTGACTGGCTGTCCTAAAGCTCTTACTTTGTCATACAAGGACTTGGGTAATGAGGGACATTTCAAGTTAAATGTTCAAGCTGACCTCACATAAGAGGTATCACTACATCACACAGAGATATTGCACATCACTCCTTTATTATACTGATCTGGAAAAAAGATTTAGTACAGAGATTTACGCTCAAAATGAGTACCGGGCCCGTGGCAGGGCCAAGCAACTGGAACATGATCAGAAACAGATACAGTGAAAGACACACTTGGACATGATTGAGAGGCATCTCACTGCCATAAAATATTAAGGCAGGGGAGGGGTTCTAAAACACACAGCAGGATAAAATCCTAGGCCTCAGAAGTCAAGGAATTTATCCCACATTGGTGTGAGGAATGGCTTATTTTTGGATGATCACATGTGGGAATATTTCAACCGCCACTAGAAACCCCAGAAGGGTTTTTTTGTTTTGTATTTTATATATATATATATACACACATATATATATATACTTTTTTTTTTTCTTTGAGAAAGTAAATGTAACATGTAAAGCATTCAGAGTGATCCCAATCTTCTGGAGCCAGCTCTTCTGGGGTCAGAGGGGAAATGATTATTTTTAATCACCATGCAGGTTACATTCATCTTCCACTGGAATGACTAGAGCCCCCCCGCCCCCCACCTGACTACAGAATAGTAAAGGACTTGCTCCTGGGAACACACATAGGCTCTCTTGCTTCTCATTGGTCACACCCAGCATGGTTCCTCCCTATCCCCAAATCAAGCAGGTCCTTAGTAATAAAGCAGTAGCAAAAACCCCAGTGTTACTAATTCCCTACTCTTGGGTAAGAGTCTTCTCTCAGCTTAGACTGAGAACCCATGCCCCAGAAGTGCCATTCTGACTAGAATATATGAAGGGAATGGGTGCAAGAAACAAAATGGCTAAATGAAATTAGGAGCCACTGGTCCCCATCTGCAGCTAAAACTTAAGATGCCTACAGATGTGGTCAGTGTGACATGTGCAGGGAAGAAGTGCAGAGGAGTGGGATGGGCAGGGAGGGATCCTTGGGAAAGTAGTCTGCCTGCTTGCCTTCACTTTTTGGCCTTGCCCTGGGCAGCCACAGCTTCCATGGCTTTACGCACGGTCTCTTCATCCCCCAGGAACTGCATGGGCTTGATGGGCTTCAAGTTCTTGTCCAATTCATAGACCATGGGAATACCTGTTGGCAGGTTCAGCTCCATGATAGCCTCTTCGGAAAGACCTGAAAATACACACCATGATTAGCCAACCAAGACACAAATCCACATTACCCCTGCAGGTGACAAAGGACTTCAGTAGGAATTAAAACAAGACACCCTTTCCGATATTTGTAATAACAGTAATGATCTATATTACAGATCAGTCACCCAAAGAATGCCCCCAATACTTCTCAGCCACTGAAAAGCAAGAAAAAAGTATGAAAAGGTGTGTACCACAGATATCTCTCCCAAAGTAGGGTTTGGAAACCCACAGCAAAGCAGGACCATACACATCTCAAATGTCCTATGTAGTCCATCCAGCCTGCCAAAAATCAGCACATCTGTGCCTCAAGGCCTTCAGGTGAAACAATTTAGGATGCAAATTGAGGTTCACGTGTGAAGTTGTACCAGGTTGTGATTAAGGAGGATTTTATCAGTAGTTTCAAGTGGCAGTCCTAGCCTAAAGGTGAGCATCTCAAACTATAATGTGTATGTGAATCACGTGGGTAACAGATGCAGCTTCTGCATCAGGCCTGAAGGGGGACCGGAAGCTCTGCATATATAATAAGCACCCAACGAGTCTATCTACGATGCTTGGAGGCAACAAGGGTAGAGGGTGACTAGGAGTCAATCTAGATTATCTCCAAGGCGCTCCATATGTCTGGCCTTTTCCTGAAGGTCCTCTCTGCATGAAATAAGTCCCTGATTAGTGGCAATTTTGCTGTATCCCTCCTTGAGGGTTCCCCTGAAAAATATACATACTCTCCAGATGCTTGACAATGCCCCGAAGGCTGTTGCCATGGGCTGCAATCAGTACTCGTTTCCCCTCCTTGATCTGGGGAACTATTTCTTCATTCCAAAAGGGCAGAGCTCTGGCAATTGTGTCCTTCAGACTTTCACAGGAGGGTAGCTGATCTTCAGTGAGATCTGCATACCTTCGATCCTAAACAACAAAAAAAACCCAAACTCACCAATTAGTAGTAGTTGCATCTGTTCTGCCCACTCCTCATCCCCTAAGTCAAAGTGATGGATGAAAGTCTCTCACCCGGGCACAGAATGGAGCGGAGAGCTTGGCAAAGGGGGTAATTATTATCTTGCTGCTCTTCCTACCACCATTACCCACTAATTGGGAAGATTAACTATTCAAAAGAAACTTAGAAAAGGGGAAAAAAAAGGTAGGCACAAAGCTCTTCCCAATTCACTTAATCTTGCACTTGGCTTAGGAAGGCCCTACAACTATGGATGGGTTTTATAAAGTATGTCAGCGAAGACAGAAAAAAGGATATATTCTCAAATAACTATCAACTCTAGGGCGCCTGGGTGGTTCAGTCAGTTAAGCATCTGCTTTCAGCTCAGGTCATGATCCCCGGGTCCTGGGATCGAGTCCCGCATCGGGCTCTCTGCTCTGTGGGGAGCCTGCTTCTCCCTCTCCTCCCCACTTGTGCTCTCTCTCAAATAAATAAAATCTAAAAAAAAAAATTAACTATCAACTCTTTTAACAAGTGAAGGTCATTCCTTGGAGAAGGGGAATTAAAACAATTAACAATTTGTCATAAATTATAAACTCAATGGGACTAGGCAGACACTAATAAAAAGCTAAGAAAGAGTGAGGCCCAGGACCCTAACCCGCGGTCCTAGGTGGAGTGAGCCAAACCCGCATTAGTCCATACCTTACTGATCTTGCTGTAGAAGGGATGGTCGGGTTCCATGGGAGGTGGTGGGACATCATAGGAACGCCTCCAGATCTTCACCTGGGCCTCGCCATGCTTGGCAGCAGTTTCTGCTTTATTCAGGCCAGTCAGACCCCCATAGTGCCGCTCATTGAGGCGCCAAGTCCTCACTACTGGCAGCCACATTTGGTCAATGGCATCCAGCACTGTCCAGAGAGTCCGAATTGCTCTCTTCTGCACCGAGGTGAAGCAGATGTCAAACTCATAGCCAGCATCTGGGAATCACAAGTTCAAAGTGATAAGCTAATCAGGTCCACTCTGGAACCAGAATTTTCTCACATAGAAATTTAACTAGTTTGTATACTCTAGCAGGAAAGACAATATTGTGCCTTCACGGAAGATAAAATTTGTTGATTCCTGTTATAGCTGACAACATACCTCCCGGTGGTTCCCCAATAATTCATCTAACCCAAGACCTAAACATATTGTCAAGTAGCTAATCCATGCCATCTGTGTGGCTTATCCTAAACCCCAGAGTGCTGTGCTTAAGCCCATTTTAAGAACTTATTTCTGCTTCAATTCTTTCAAGAAAAGGATGCTTAAAATTTTGTTATCTCTTAATAAATAAGAATAACCAATATTTATAGAGGGCTTACCATCTGTCAAGCACTGGACTATTTTGTACGTGTTTCGTCTTCATAACAATCCTTACAACCCATGCTAGGGGAGTTAAGCAAATCATTCAAGGTCGAACCTTATACGTGAGAGATTAAAATCCAGGTTGTGTGGGCACCTGGGTGGCTCAGTTGGCTGAGCGACTGCCTTCGGCTCAGGTCATGATCCTGGAGTCCCACATGGGGCTCCCTGCTCAGCAGGGGGTCTGCTTCTCCCTCTGACCGTCCCCCCCTCATGTGCTCTCCCTCTCATTCTCTCTCTCAAATAAATAAAATCTTAAAAAAAAAAAAACAACAACCCAGGCTGTGTGACTCCAAAATCAAACTCATAACCACCATCTCTAGCTCCTGCCGTATTTTCCTAACCCCTAAGGATCTGGATGTTTGTATTTTAGTTAAAATAGTCACTTCTGACCAATAATTACTAATATATTTCAGTCCTAACTGCTTGTCTAGGGGAAGTGGATTTTAAACCCCCAACAATCAGGGGCACCTGGGTGGCTCAGTCATTAAGCGGCTGCCTTCGGCTCGGGTCGTGATCCCAGGGTCCTGGGATTGAGCCCCACGTTGGGCTCCCTGCTCGGCGGGAAGCCTGCTTCTCCCTCTCCCACTCCCCCTGCTTGTGTTCCCTCTCTCGCTGTGTCTCTCTCTGTCAAGTGAATGAATAAAACCTTTTTAAAATAAACAAACAAACCAAACCCCAACAATCAGGACACAGCAAGAGCTCTTAGAGGATGCTGATTAAAACTTCAGTTTGTTGCCCGAAATTATATTTTCACTATGGAGTGGAAATCACATCACAATCTCTTAATCCACAGTTTCTGCTCTAGTCAAGTGCCAGCCTGTACCTACTTAGGTGGACAGCTAGACCAAGTTTAGGAGAAGCCACTCCCTGGAGAAAGAGCAAAAAAAGCAAGTGCTGTGCATGGATTCATTTATAAATGAACCTCTCCTCCATACACATACACGGTAGTTATTAAGGGGTGGTAATCAAGAGTTATATTGCCCCAACCAACAGGTTACAATTCGTATTTCATGAAAGATTATCCCCTCTCCCGATTTAATAAGGAGAGAGCCCTTTCTTTATGTAGTATTTTCCTCAATGAGGCTACAAGGCCCTCTTTGAAATTCAGCACAAACTTTCCTGGGTATTGCCTCATATGGAAGTTGCCAACAGTAATTAATGCAATGTGAAGTGAATTCTTCTGCCAGTCATTCGACTGAGAATGAGGCCAGTAAGAACTATGCTGATGGGGAAAGGGAGTATTAATCACCAGGAAACCCATCACTACACTACCCACAAGGGAAAGATGACAAATCTCATCACTGAGCCTCAGGACAAGTCCTAGTAGACTCCATTACCATCTCCTCCCTAACTCTAGGGAAGAATGGCTCCCCAGTAAAAGGCTGAGTCACGGGGAAGCAACCATCCATAGTGCAAGCCTCATCTCCCATGCTGCACAGCTACCCGCTGTTTCACTCCAAATCTTTCCACCCGCAATCCCATTGGATATTCAAGTAAGTCCCTAAGGAGAAAAGCAGTTCGCCTCAGGGCACTTAACAGAACTCTAAGGCCTCTTTCTTTAACTTGCCCATTAAATAAAAGCATAGCCTAGGACACTCCCACAGGTGGAGTAAATGGTGTGGTGCGGACCTCATTTCCCCATGCCCCGAGGTAAGACTGCATGGGGAAACTGAGTTCTCACTAGCTTCCTCCTGAAACGTTTCAAGAGTTTAAAAACCCTACTATGATTTAAAGCTCTGGAGAAGGGCGCCTGGGTGGCTCAGATGGTTGAGCGTCTGCCTTCGGCTCAGGTCATGATCCCAGGGTCCTGGGATCGAGTCCCGCATTGGGCTCCCTGCTCCTTGGGAGCCTGCTTCTCCCTCTGCCTCTCTCTCTCTCTGTCTCTCATGAATAAATAAATAAAATCTTAAAAAAAAAAAATAAATAAAATAAAAAAATAAAGCTCTGGAGAATTTAATATATTTATTTTAGGTTTCTTACACTACTCATGATGGTCTTCACCATTCAGATTTCTGCTTTTAGTCTTTTTTAATATAATCATTTGTGATGCCCATAACAGATATTAAGATTTTAAATGAGATTTTTCTAACTAATGCTACCAACATTTACTTAAAAACTGAAATGGGGGGTGCCTGGTTGGCTTAGTCACAAGAGCATGTGACTCTTAATCCCGGGGTCATGAGTTTGAGCCCCACATTGGTGTAGAGATTACTAAAAATAAACTTAAAAAAAACTGAAGTAGGGTCTGTTAAAGAGAAATTACAAGTTTGACCATTTGATCAGTCTTTAGAATACAGCTGCAATTATCTTTGTCCTGGGCTAGTCCTCAGCAAACCACCACAGACCCATACAGTTCTTCCTGCCAGACAGGAGAGAAAATGGCCTCCTTTACCAGCACTTTCCCTTTCCCAGCCTCTCCTAACGTCACACCAGCATTCACACACACAGCCAGCAGGATTACATTTCCCACACTTTCCAAACCTTTGCTTCATTTCAAAGGATCTAGAGTGAAGGCAAGAAGCTAGAGTAACCTGAGGCCAAATACCTCTTCCACATCAGGCATCAATGACCCTTTTAAAGGGTTGCTTCTAGGTCCAGAGGTTAGAAGGGAGCAGGGCAGGATCTGCCCTAATCATCAATGGAAGCACCTTCTCCCATCCAAGTACTAACCAGGCCCGACCCTGCTTAGCTTCCGAGATCAGTCGAGATGGGCGCATTCACCTTCTCAGACCAGATTCTCGGAGTTGCTGACAGCTGAGAATGCCTCCTCATAAAAAGCATTCCAAAACCACAGAAAGCTACCCCCCACCCCCCCCGGCGGGGCAAGCCTGGGTAGGCGAGTTTATCTCACTGCCACTTCCACCTTTGCCCAGCGTCTGTTACTCAACCCAGAACTGGAACAAGCGAGATGGACTAGGAATAAAAAGATACGACCTGAACAAGTCATCTATGCAATCCTCACTTTTCCCAACTATAAGAGAGGGCCAGGGAGGGATAGAAAAGAGGGGAATAAAAATCTGTCTACTTGGGGCGCCTGGGTGGCTCAGTCGTTAAGCGTCTGCCTTCGCTCAGGTCATGATCCCAGGGTCCTGGCATCGAGCCCCACATCAGGCTCCCTGCTCCGCGGGAAGCCTGCTTCTCTCTCTCCCACTCCCCCTGCTTGTGTTCCCTCTCTCGCTGTGTCTGTCTCTGTCAAATAAATAAATAAAATATTTAAAAAAAAATCTGTCTATGGAATCGTGCACAGGATCAATTAAAATCCATTCATTCATTCATTCAATTACATTTGAAGATGCGTTTTGGACACAGGATTTGTGGGATGCTGCTTAACGGCAAAGGCCTACATAAGCACGTGGGTTTCTGACGCCCGTTGGGCCCCCCCCAGCGCCGCGATACTCCCCCACAACCAGCGACAAGCGTGTGGCCTGACGCTTCACTAGGATCCGCAGCGACCTCTTGAAAAGGCTTGGTTACGGCTGCTGGAAGACACCGGGCATCCAATGTAATAACCCGTCCCCGAGTTACTAAATGCTCAGACTAGAAAATGGGAGAATTTCGCAAGGTGATGCCGTGGAGAACGCAGTGGGTTACGGGACGACCGCCCCCGGTCCTCTTCCTGGGGCGGCCCCTCACTCCATTGGATGACCTTGAGCAAGGCGACCTCCCCCCCAATCTGGGCCCATTTTGTCATTTGCAAAATAAATTGCTGGAGAGCTGAAGCCAAAGTCAGCCCTCTCTGGGAGGGCAAGGGGGCGAGCCAGATGGCCCTCACCGAGCGGCGCCCGCCCGGGCCTCCGCAACCCCCACCCGCAGCCCGGCCCGGCCCGCTCCGCACCTCTCAGCGCCTGCCCGCCGCGCTTCGCCTCCTCGTGCCCGGCCGGGCTCAGGTCGGCGTCGTACCAGCCGCTGAAGCGGTTCTCCAGGTTCCAAGTGCTCTCGCCGTGCCGGATCAGAACCAGCTTGTATGCAGCCATGGCGGCGGCTCCGGGTGCGACACAGACTGAGACTAGCCGAGATTCCGGAGTCGCTGCCTGGCCCCAGCCGCGCCTGCGCGCTCGCACCCTGCCGCCGGGCTCCCGCGCACTTGGTCGCCCAAATCTTTCCACTCGCTCGAGTCCGCCCTCCTCCCGGCGGGCGCGCGCATGCGCCCCGTGCCAGCGCTGCGGCCGCCGGGGGGGAGGGGCGCGCGCGAGGGCGCCAGAGCGCATGCGGTCTCGGCCGCCGGCCTCTCGTCTGCCGCGGCGGTCACGGAGCGCACGTAAGCGCCGAAAGGCGGCGGGACTTTCGGGTCTCGCCGGGGCAGGCGTGCCCGCCGTGGCGTTCGAGAGTCGCCCCGCTCTCCTAGTGTTGCTGTTATTCCTAAGCCATTTGTCCTAATAAAGTGACCGTTATCATTTGAACCGCCCTTAGCTGCTCCAGGTCACTTTTCCATTCGTACGCAGAGTTTGATTCACACACCTGTGCTCGAATCGTCACCCTTCCATTTTATTGCTTTGTAACTTTGGGCAGGTCGCTTAACCTCGCCCAGCCTCATTTGTGAATGGTCATAATAAATGCTTAGCTGGTGCCTATCTACCTGGAAGGTGCTCAGTCAATAGCCATTACCAGTGCTCTCTCTTTTTAGTGGATACTCATTTCCTATTTTACACGTAAGAGAGCTGGCTCTGACTGCGGGCTCCAAAATCCTGCTCTTTACAGAAACACGGGGCTGTTTATCCCACCTCTTCGGGTGTCTCTCAGCCTCTAGTCGGTGCCTCCTGGTCCTCCAACAGTGACGCAGACTCTGGACCCCTTCAAACATTCCAGAAAGAGGAGAGTCACTGCCTGTTCCTCCCCTACTCCCAATCAGCAGTTTAATATCTGCTTATCTGGACAGCTCTCTGCCGCCCTTGCCACTGACTCCCGGTTTATTTCAAACCAGCCACTTTATTGAGTACCAAACCGGGAGTCAGTGGGCTAGGGCCAAAGATGGGCTGAATGTATTTTCTGCCCTTCACAGCAAGTGGAGTGCAAATAAGACCCACGTGTAAACAGCTAACAATGAAATTGTGCTGTGTGCTGTATTTACAGATTCTAGAAAAGTTTTTAAGATGTTCTCAAAAAAAAAAAACACTATGTACCAGACAGTGTTATAAGTGCTTTACAAACATTAACTCACTTAATCCTCATATATCCTCATAATGATCCTATGAGACGGGTATTATATTTCCTTATTTACTGATGAGGAAAATGAGGGATGAAGTAAACTGCCTAAGGTTACAGGACTCAGGATTCAAGCTGAGGCTGACTTCCAAATCCCTGTCCAGATTCACAGCTCGGAACTGGAGGAGAAACCAAGACTCAAACCCAGGCAGTCCCAGGGCCTAGGGTGCCCTCTAACCACAATGCACCTGGGAGAAGATGGAATTCAGTGACCAGAGAGAGATGACCAGAGTGAGGTCCAGCACTAAAACTACACCCGGTGCTCACAGAATCCCAGAGCTACAAAGCGAGAACTCCCTTGGAAGGCCTTCTGTTCAAGCTCCCAGCATGGCCCATGTGGGGATCCTGGAAAGAATCCGTCTTTGCAGGTTCTCCTGCTTGCTCCCAGTGCTTGGTCATCCCAACCCTGATACCCAGGCCCTCTCAGGGAGAGCTTTTCCAGCCTTAACCTTGGCTTCTCAGACTGGACTTTTTGTCCCCCTGCCTTGGCCCTAATCCATACTCCCAGTCATGGCTCCTGCCATGTCCCTTTCTCCTCCCCCTGCTCTCTGCTTCAAGATTTCTGTGCTCTAGTCTAGATGAGGTCTCCCATTTATGCAATAAGTAGGAAGTATAAATAGGAAGAAAACTGAGTTCAAATATGTCTCTGTTTCTGATTACCCATGGGACCCAAGATGGGTCACTCAACTTCACATCCTCATTTTCCCCATCTATAAACTGGGTTAATAATCATATTCATAGGGGCGCCTGGGTGGCTCAGTCGTTAAGCGTCTGCCTTCGGCTCAGGTCATGATCCCAGGGTGCTGGGATCGAGCCCTGCATCGGGCTCCCTGCTCAGCGGGAAGCCTGTTTCTCCCTCTCCCACTCCCCCTGCTTGTGTTCCCTCTCTCACTGTGTCTCTCTCTGTCAAATAAATAAAATCTTTAAAAAAAAATCATATTCATAGTTACCTAAAATGCTGTTGTGAGGAATAAGTGAGATGATGCATGGGAAGCGCTTAGCACTGTGCCTAGCAAATAGTCATAATAATAACAATAACTACATTACTAACATTAATAATAAATGTTATTAGCAGTGTGATCAAGAAGGCAAAAAGATTCAATGAAGTGCACCAATTCAAAGGGTATGAGCCTGGGGGTCCATGGACAGATTTCCCTTCTAGCAGGATGCCTGGTAGGAGATGGTTTACCCACTGGGATTGGGACTGGCAGATAACTAGGATACTTTGGGGAAGGAGGCCAAAGGCATCTGTACCACCAGCCTTGGGAAAGAGCCTGGGAATCCTGTTTTATTCCTTTACTGACCCCCTCTGCCTCCAGAAGACATCTCTCATTTCTTTGGAATTCTGGGGAACTCTAATAACTTTATGCACCTCATTTACAGGATATCTTCCTTAACTCATCAGAAGTTTTTTAGGTAGGCATCAGATCAACTCAACTAGAAACTCCTTGAGGACGGGCACCAACCTTAACTATTTTATACACCCCCCCACACACACACACACATGCACTTAGCGTGATGCCTTTGCCCTTGGTAGACTCTCTGAGTGTCCCTGAGTGTCAGGGCTGGGAGAGACCTTGAAAATCCTCCACTGCAACCCGCTACCTCCTGCTACCCCCAGTTCACATGTAACAGAAGAGGAAAGTGAAGTGAACCATTCAAAAAGAGCAGGAGATGAGCAGGGGAGCAGGTTTATCAGTGAGAAATCAGAGGTGATCCCCGGGGAAGGGCCCTAAGTTGGGGCTTGCTGTGTCAGGAAGCGAGGTAGGAGCCTGGAGAGATCCAGAGAGTGGGAGAGTGAGGGGGATGGGAAGCACTGTGGGAAGACCTTGAAGGCTTGCTTTGCAGCTGGAAGCCAGAATTCCTGGGCAGAGATGGGGATTCACTCAGCTTTAATCACAAATCTGGGAAGAAGCTTAGAGCCTATCAAACCACAGAGATTTCCCAAATGTCAGTCAAAGGTAAGGATAAATCAGTAGGGTTTGTCCTCAACTACTTTTTTTTTTTTAACCTTAATTGTTATCTCTACTGAACAGACAACACAGAGACATTTGTCAGGGTTGATTCCTGGGCCCTTCTGAAGAACTGTGTGGATACAGGAGAGAATTCATACATCCCGAGAACAAAGTAGGAGTGAGGGGCTGATTGCAGCTGGGGTCCAGCTCTAGGAGCAACCTGAGGGACCTACTTCACAGCTCCTAACCAGGTCACTGCCCTCGCTTTTTTGCCCTGCAGGGGGCAAATGTGGCCAATTAAGACCCTGTTCTGGCCTGGAGTGTGGGGGTGGGGATCTGTGCTCCAGACTCTTCTCAGATGTCATCTCCTGGGCCAGGGGCAGTCATTAATAACAAACCCTCACCTTCACCTGAGGCCGCCAGCCAGTCTCAAAACCCCAAACTCTTAGGGCAGAGAGCTTCTCTTCCAGCCCAGTGCTTTAATTCCCCAGGCCTAGGGAAAATCTCAGGAACAGCTTTCAACCAACCAGCTTATTGATTAAGCTGTTACAAAAACTCAGATAAGGATCATCAGTAGGCACAGTCCTATTACCCTCCACTGTTCATTAAAACAATAAAGGCCTCTCTCAGCTTTCCCTCCCCACTTATTTTGTCCACAGAAGCATCACTCTGTTATCAAGCACCGAACATTCAGCGAAGGACCCGATTTAGAATCGAAGTGAGGCAAACCAAGTTCTCCACAAGGGCAGTTGCCATTTGGCCCACAGGAATCCCCGGCAGGACACCCCAGGTCCTTATTGTGGAACATCTTGTGACTTCATGGCCTGCTGTTCGGATGTGTCAGCTCAGCTGCTGTCTGAGGAAGACAGGATTTCTGTCTCGGACAGTGAGCCCAGGGGATCGTAGCTCATGCCTCAGGACTCTGGGCTTGGAAGAAAGGAAGAATGCTTCAAGGAGGCCTGAAAGTCCTGCTCCAGCCCTCCGCAGTCGCCATCTGAGGATAAACAGCAGGAAGGAGTGTGGCTGGAAAAGAGAGAGGCCGGCGCTACTGTGGACTTGCGGCTTCCTACAACTCCCGTGACGACACCCTTCCTTCGGTCCTCAAAACCCAGCCTCCGACTTGAGTGTCTGGCCCAGCGACAGTACAAGCCCTTCCTTCTGGATTCTGGAACTCTTCTGGTCTCTAAAAAGAAACCACCAACCACTGGGGGGGTGCCCTCTGCCTCTAGGCCCTGCGTGTCATAACTACGATGATTAAACTGCTCAAAGCGGGGCAATAAGCAAACCTTTTTGACCCCTCTACTTTCCTTCACGTAGAACTGTTTTCCTACTCTATTTCTTTGGATGAAATTCTAAGTACAAAACAGGCAGACACTTTGTTATTTGGGAATAGTTCACATTAAGTTTAGTGAAGGACTGAGAGATGAGTGGTATGAGTTAGTACAGGATCTCTGAGAAGCAGTTGCCCAGACAGGATTTGCATAAAATGTATTAGGGGAAATGCCTGAGACAGGAAATGGGGAGGTGACAGAGTAGGTGTGACCCACATAAAGGAAGAAGGAAAAGAAGATTGGGTAGGTGGAAGCATCTGGACTGTGGTATGTTTCTGAGGAAATTCAGGAAGGCGGTTGAGGAATCCTGGAGCCAAGATCACTCTTCAGAGCAGGCCTTGCCTTTGCATCTTGACACAGGGATACTAAGTTAGGGCTGGACAGCCCGTGGGCAGCGTGGCCTCTGTCTGAATGCTATGAGGGGTTTCAGAGTGACACGGCTGGGGCCCTGGGTCAACCAGCTCTATGAGATCTGGGGGATATATTCTCATGGTCATGCACGTACATTCAATAAATTTGTCAGAAAAAAAATTTTTTTTTAAGATTTTACTTATTTATTTGACAGAGAGAGACAGCAAGAGAGGGAACACAAGCAGGGGGAGTGGGAGAGGGAGAAGCAGGCTTCCCGCGGAGCAGGGAGCCCGATGCG